GAGACACACTTATTAAATTTATAGTGAGTTAATTGATTATCTCCATCGGAGTTTTGCAATGAAAAATCTGAAACAATATAATAAATTTGGATAATTAAGCCAAAATTACTTGAAAGTCAATGAGAATAGCTTACTCTCGACAGAATTCAGTAGCTTTTTTAAATTCAGATCTTGATGGAAGCTACTAAGAGTCATCTGCTTTAATTTCGCGTCTCCCAATAAACTCTTCCATAACCGTCGAGTGATTTCTTTTGGCTTGTTTCTAAATTTCTGGATATCTTCTAAGTCAAGAGAATTAACTAACACATTGCTTCCTTCTATCAACTCAACATATTTAACATTAGGAGTAGGCATACTTATAGATGTAACATTGCCAATAACCCCAGTATCAATACCAACAACACCAACAGATCCAGCACCAGCAGCAATAGCAGGATCAGCATTTACAGCAATACCAGGACTAGCATGAGTACCAGCAACAGCACCAATATCATCTCTAGCACTAGCACCAGCATCATCTTCAACTCCAGAATTGGCACCAACATCTGCTTCAGCACCAACAACATCTTTAGCTTCAATGTCGGCATCAACATCATCTTCAGCTCCGATATCGACAATAACATCTGCTCCAGCTCCAGCACTAGTATCAGCTCCAATATCATCTTCAGCTCTAATATCAGCAACAACATCTGCTTTAGTACTAACATCTGCTACAGCACCAACATTATATTCAACTTCAATATTGGCACCAACATCTCCTCCAGCATCAACATCTTCAACGCCAATATCGGTACCAACATTAGATCCAGCACCAACATCATTTTCAGTTTCGATATCGGCAATAATATTAGCACCACCAATAATATTTGCTATAGCACTGGCATCAACATCATCAACGTCATTATAAGGACCAACATCTGCTCCAGCATCAGAACTAGCATCAACTCCAATAGTAGGACAAACATCATCTTCAGCAACAACATTGGAACTACCGTCATCCCCAGCATCAACACTAAACTTAATATTGAGGAAAACACCAGCGTGAGCACCAATATTATCATCAACTTCAAGTCTAGCTCCAACGTTAAAATGCGCATCACAATAAGCATCAGCAACAACATCTACTCCAGCACAAATATCAGTATTGGATAACATATTTTCGCTAGCAGTCTGAGAACAGGTATTCTTCTTCAAACAACTCTGTTCTGAACCAGTGATGATCAAAAAAAAAAAAAAACACATACATACATACATACATACATACATACATACAGACACCGTGACAACCTCGCGGGGATAGTCAGGGAAGCTTTCTGTGACCTTTAAACGTCGAGATCTGATGAAAACTCCATTTTTGCAAAACGGGTCGAAAACAGTATCTTCCCGATTTTTTTAAATCTGAGATTTTTAGCGGGAAGTTAAAAAAATTTTTTTTTCTCGGAACCAGGCTCAAAAGTTTCATTTAGATGCCAAAATAGGCCCCTGAAAATATGAGCCCTTAATATTAATACTAAAGTTGTCCGCCGCGCACTTTTCGATCTCTCATAAGAATAACACAGGAAAAAAAATTTTTTTTTGTTCTGAATTTTTTAACTAATGAACCATCAATCGCTCTGCAATTTCCTTTAAATTTTTTTGTAGAGAATTGAACGCCCTACAAAAAAGTTTTAATTTCACTTTTCGATTAATCAACTCATTCAAAAGTTATTCAAGGTCAAAGTTAAATTCATTATCAATTTAGCCGTTTTTCTCAATGACTTGGCAAAATTATTTTTTTTAGAAAAAATGTTTCCCAAATATTTCATACAATACTAATTAGACTTCTGAGGATTGTTAACCAATATTTTTCGTTATTTGATAAAGATGGACGAAGCACATAAAACAATTTATCAATGACAGTTAGCTCTATAGATTTGAGATATCTCGTTTTTAAAAATTTGCACCAATCGTTTCATTGAGATCAATTTTCTTAAACTGATTTTTCTTACTACGCTGGTCGAAAGTACGGGGATCCCTCTGCGATTTCACGGCAGAAAGCCTCACATTTATGCCGCGGTCGAGTCGCACATGGGCTCTACGACGGGGAGCCGAAAAAATGTATTCATGTACTGACAACGAGACACGAGGTGGCAGAAAGTCCGAAAGTCGGTAGTCGCGCTCACTCTATTACTTATGTATACAATCCTAACCTTACTTATGATTGTTATGAATGTATCTGTCTTGTTATGTGTCAATGATTTTAGGTTGAAACTAAGTTAATTACAAAAAATGAATATTTATTTTAATGAAATGAGACTTGTTAAATATTAAAATTACAAAAAAAAAAAAAACAAGAAATATTTTTCATTCTGATAGATATTCTCAAATAAATAAATTCATTATTGAACAAGTAATTATTTGAAAAAATACATAAACAGATTTTTTTCTTAATTTTTTTTTTTTTATGCATTTTACGATTATGATTTCATTTTTCTATTTGTTTTTAATTTTTTTTTTTTATTCTTAAAATCAGAGTTAATTTATAATATATTTAAAACTTTAAATTTATTTAATGAAATTAAAATCTTTTCTCAAAAGAAAGTAGTAATATGATAGATTATATATTAATATCTTTATTGACAGGTGTATTTGATGCCTGACCCCCCGACCAGCAGCACTCGTTTCGCTCGTGGTTCAAATGTCGGGGGCAGGCATCAATTTTTTTCAACGCAATTTTTAACGTACTTTCGATCGCATAGCAAGAAAACTAGTATACACTACATGGGCAGAAATTCGAGAGCCCTGAACTGCGCGCTATGATGCCCTCGGCTTCGTCTCGGGCACATGGCGCGCAGTGCAGGAATCTCAACTTTCTGCCCTTGTAGTGTAATATACTATTTAATTGAATAACTGTCTTAAAATTGCAACTTAAATATTTCATGATAAGATAAATCAGGAATGTTCAGAATATTTCAATACGTCAAAGTCACTAATGATGTAGCTGAATGAAGTGTTGCTTTGATTGAGGAATACATCAGTTACCTCACAATAGATGAGCAACAACTGCAATACTTATTGCAAGTAATTCGCGAACATCGGCAAAGACATCCCAATTACAATAAGACAACTCTTCAGCAAGATCAATATCATGTAAATGTGTAAAAATCATTTTTAAACAAAAAAAATTTCGAATATATGATAAGTAATACATTTGTTATAAGTTTTGAGTGATTAATTTATAATATTTGGTATAGTCATGAATACATATATGTTAAATAAAATTAATTGTCTGTTCGTCTGAATTATGAAAACGCAGAAACACGAATAACTCTTCAGGCCATGAATAAAATTTAACTTATTTTTATCCGCAATGTATCTAAAAATAATTTTTTAATAAAATTACAGTAATCTTTGATGACAAAAGATAATAGTTTATATTTTTAAACTCTAAAAGCTTAGAAATAAACTTTCCATTCATTTTGAGAACTTGAAACTAATAAATTTCGGAAGATTATAAAGAAAATAGCTGAATTGATAATGAATTTAACTTTGATCTTGAATAACTTTTGAATGAGTTAATTAATCGAAAAATGATATCAGAACTTATTTGTACGCGGAGAGAAAAGAATAGAACTTATTCCTATGTAGAATGGTAACCATTACCATGTTACATAGTAACGGAAATTTTTGTAAGAACCTCGTGTGAATTTGCTAATAAAAATCTTAGAAATTGTGATAAAAATATGAATAAGCACTCATTCGATGCGGAATTAAATTCTGAAAATAATGCTGTTTTTTTATTTTTTTGATGAAAATTTCAATTTTTTATTAACAAAAAACATAACCAAAATAAAAAATCTCAGTTTTTCGTAAATAACTCAATAACTATCGGTGATATCAAAAATCTGAAAAAAGGTCCTTAAATAGGAGGAAATTTCTGAAAAAAAGTCTCGACTCCCGGAACTCTAGCTTGAAAAACAATAATTTTTATTTAATGTTGACAATAGGATTCCGCGCGACTTTCGTCACACGGCTGCGTCGATGCTAAAATACAGGGGCATCCAAACGAAACTTTTGAGCCTGATTCCGAGAAAAAAAGTTTTTTTTTTTTTAAACGCCCTAATACATACACTGATATAAAAAGAGTCATGATTCAAGAAACTTTTTTTCTTTAAAACTTGAATTGTCTTGAAACTAAGAATAGATATATTTCTTTCAAGAATTTTTTTCTCTTGGTTCAAGATAGGCGATATCATTGATTCAAGATGTTACCGACTTGTGTTAAGAATGGCTTTTTTTTGAGTTATTAATTAATTTACTTATTCTCAAGAAATAATTTTTATTTGGTATAACAATTAAAGACTATTTAGTTTTTTAAATATACTTTGATGAGTTATTTCAAGTTTTTTAAACGATAATGTTATTTTGATTGAAAAACTTAAATGTATCGATTGAAGATAATATACATACAAAAAACAAATTTCTTACGCCAAGAAAATTTTAAGGAAAACGAAAATGATTTTGGAGCAAGAAAAAATTTTTTTGACTCAAGAAAATTTTCTTGGCTCAAGAAACTTTGAGTTCATTCAAGAAATTTTCAACCTTCCTTAATATTTTCTTGAGCCAAGAAAATTTACACTTCATTCAAGAATTTTTTTTCCAGTGTAGCTCCCAAGCTAAGAAAATCTAAATCAAGACAAAAAATAATTAAAGCAAAATAATCATTTGTCCTCCAAAATAAATTCTTAGATTAAGAAAATATTTCTTAAGTTTACATAAATTTTCTATCAGTGTACAGACATATAGACACCATTGCGGGGATAGTCAGGGAAGCTTACTGAGCCCTAAAAACGTCGAGATTTGATAAGAACTCGATTTTTGCGAAACGGGGTAAAACCATTAACTTCCCGATTTTTGAAAATCTTTGATTTTCTTAGCGGGGAGTTAAAAAAAATGTTAAAAACTTGATCCAATTTTTCTCTTTATCAACAGTATTACTTTTATTATTGACTTGAAATTAATTATTCTCTTACATAAACTAAAATTTGTGCATTTACATATGCTGATCCTTTTTTCATACGTGGTTGATCTTGGGTGTCATCGTATTCCCACCATTCTGTTCCTCTCAAACAGATTGCAGTAAAATGTCCCATAGTTCCGACTTCGGAATTTATATTTTCATGAGATCTTCTTCTCGTAGCTCTTTGGGTCAGATCTACGACTCCAACAAGCCTATACTTTTCATCTGCGTTGATAGGATTTTCAAAACCTTTTGGAAGACTATTTAGTTTTACTACTTGATTTTCATCGGCATTAAAAATTTCAAAAATCACCATGTCACCTGTTAAAGATTCAAAGTCATTAAATATTACTAACTGAACAATGTATGGTAAACTATGAAATAAATGAATCAATCATGCGGTCGATTTTTAAGAGATATTGAAAAAATGAAGTAAATACAGTACTGAAATATTGTCTTTGTAGAAATTAATTATTTATTTTTAATATTTTTATCCAGAAATCGTTTAGAAATATAAAATATTTACACTTGTGCTTTTGGGAAATATTCAATTCTAAAAGTAATAAATCTTTATGTGTTATTTCTTGTTGTTATTTAAATTTTAAGTAGCTGCAATCGCAAATTTTGAGCTGTCGTTTTTTAAATTTACCTGACTACATAAAAAAGAAATTCATACGTTTATTTTTTATTAAAACCTATGGAATAGATAAATTTATATGAACTCTATCTAAGTAAAAAAGAAAAAAAAGTAAAAGCGATAATTTTTTTTGAAAGAAATCGTTTCTTATACTACTATTTCAAATCGTGTTGATTGAGGCTTATAAATTTTTATAGTGAAATATTTAAAAATTAAAAACTTACAGCTTCAAATGCTTTCTTATTATATTCATTTGACGATATTTCAGCATTATAATACTTTAAGAATAAAAAAATAAGAACAATTTTGACAATATTCTGTATCTTTTATTATTTAGAATATAGTAAGACGATTTGTGAACATTATCGTACCTGTTGATGCAATAGAGGTTTCTCGATATCCATTGCAAGCTAATGTTTGGCATCTGCTCTTCATTGATAAATTAGAGAGTGTTGTCAAGTCTAGCAGACCGCTTTTTATGTCAGCCATATACAAAAATGGCGCAATAACATCTTTCAGATCTTCTTGTAAGCATTGATTACATTTAATTGCGATCTGACAACTTGGTGTATTTTTGAACATCCGCAATACAATTTGCATAATGCTTGTAGTGCAATTGATAAGAAGCGAACCATCTGGTTGTTCAACGGGTTTCATAAATTCATAATGAAACTTGGCCCGAGTGGCATATAATTTAGGGAATTTCGTTGTTCCATTATGTATCCCCAACGCTAACAAATACATGGTATTGTCAAGTTTTTCAATCTGTAGATTATGAAAACATTATTAAATTATATATATATATATATATATATATATATATAT